CCCCTGGGTGCAAACACACTGCTTTTCTCTTTCTGTGACACCTATGACCAGCACCACAACCTTCAATTAGAAGCAGTTTTGTTTCCCATGGTCTCAGTTACCCACAACCAACCAAGTTCCAAATTCATTAAATAGAAAACTCCAAAAGTAAATCCCTGAGTTTTAAATTCACCTCATTCTTAAGCAGTGTTCTGCTACTCATTATCCACTCTCTCCTGCTGGGAAAGGCAATCATCCTTGTTCAGTGTATCCACATTGTACATGCTACCTGCCCGTGAGCCATTTGGTCATGGCTGTGTTGTAGTGGCTGTGTTGGTCATCAGGTCTCCTGTCGGCTTGGGTTCATGTCACCCTATTTCACTTGTGGCCTCAGAATGCAGGGGGTGTTGGCAACTTGGACATACCAAAGAGAAGCTATGAAGTGCTTCCTTTCTGGGAGAAGGCAGAGGTGCTTCGAGGAACCAAGGTGACAGAGCTTTGATTATAGTATTGCTACAACTGTCCTGTTACTATTAATGTTGCTATTGTTCTTTCTTATTTCTGTTAATTTGCAAGTTGACTTTCTCATAGGTAGGTATGTTTATGTAAAAACATAGTATTTACAGGATTCAAAGCTATTGGTGGTCTCAGGCATCTTGAGATGGGGGCCTTAGAAAGGGGGTGCTGTATGTGTTTCATACTTTGGGGCTTGCTAAGATACTGGCCTGAATTGCTGACTGTGTTTCATGTTCTTTATTTTAGGGTTATGCACTGAGCAGACCTTAAGGGCTAGGGCTAGTATGTAGGCACCAGCCTATACAATGAATCCTGTCTGGGAACTCATGGCTAGTGAATAAGGCATGGTGAATAAATAAACACATATTAGAACACACATATTTTGGGCCCAAGCAGCCATCAAGTGTCATGCTCATGTTCTTTGGTTCCTGCCACTGTGCTTCCTGGACTGCACAGGGCAACAGTGCTCACTATTCCACTTGGTGATCAGAGTCTCCTTCCAGCCCACTGGTGTCTCAACAATCCCAGGATGTGCTTTAGTTAGGAAAAGGACTCTGTGCTTGTATCAGTCCCTCACCACCTGATGAGCAGTATTGCCAACCACAGACTGATAGGAGGGCTGTCCTAGAAAGCCGTTCCTCCAGCATCGTGAGGAAGAACGCATCCATCCCCTTGGAGTTTGTTTGCTCATTCATATTTTTTTTGAAACAGGGTCTCTAGTCAGCCCAGTAACTCATGATCCATATTGCTTATGCCTAATGCTTCCACAATGTTCCTTTTTGTTTTGTTTGGGTCGAAGGAAGTAGGGATGAGGATGATGGGAGTCTCAGGTATTTCAGACTGGCTGGAACTCATTAAATAACCAAGATGACCTTGAATCTGGTCTTTCTGTCTTTGGCAGCTGAGATCTGGGATTACAGGCATACAACCTCACATCCCATTCCATTCGTGTTGGGGACTGAACTCAGAACGTCCTGCATGCTAAATAAGCAAGCACTGTACCAGCCGAGGCACACACACCTATAAAAGCCCCCAGAATATCTGTCAACTTTTCAAATCCTCCATTGACCTTTCGGTCAGCTGCTACACATGCCACTTTGCAACTCTAACAGAAAGCATATGAGCTAGCCACCCCATAGTGGGGTGTCAGGACTGACACGGGGGAGAAGTGCAGTCTGGGCTACTTCACTGATTTCCAGACTCATTATCAGTGCTGCTCCAGCTTCTGCAAGGATGGCAGCCTAGTGCCCCCTGCTGGCCTTTCAGGGTATGACAAAGATGCACTAAAATGCCCAGTTCTTCCCCCACCCCCGCAAAAACAACCAAACCAAAACAAAGAGACTCTGAAAGAAGTTTTCCCCCACACAAGCAACAATTTCTCCATGAGAATCTTATAAGAGCCACGAGCAGTACTTCACATCTTTAATGTCAATACCGAGGCAGAAGGATCACAATGAGTTACAGGTCAGTTCCAAGGCAGGGTGTAGTGGTGGTGCACTGGATGGCAACAGGATCTTATTGGCTTCCCTACATGGCCTAGCACTCATGTGAATTATCTTAGGACTGCAGCTGTGATAACGTGAAGACAGAGGCACGGGTGGATGGGAGTTGTCGGGGGTAGAACTAACTCAGGAAAGCAGGGCTTCATGAAAAGGCTCTAGGAAGGCTGGGTCTCAGTCCATCTAGGGAAAGGCAATCACAGATGCATGTATGTTTGTGTGAGGGTGCCAAATCCCCTGGAACTGGAGTTACAGACAGTTGTGAACCGCCATGTGGGTGCTGGGAACTGAACCTGGGTCTTTTGGAAGAGCAGTCAGTGCTCTTAACTGTTGAGCTATTCATTTCTCAGGTCCAGAATTTGTTATCTTACTGGGCCATACTTTCAAAAATACAATGTGTAGAGTAACAAGTGGTATTCTTCTGGCTAAAAAGGCAAAAAAATGGTTGAAGTTCGTTTTCCAATTTTCTTCTGAAAATAGGACTGAGAAGCCATATCTCTCCCCATTTCTAACGGGGACCACCCTGGCCAAAACCCTGGGGTGACTTGCCTTTCTTGGGTAGGGGAAGCCTGTGTGCAGTGGACTCTTGTGACAGTCATATTTGGAAGGCATGAAATTATCAAGCCTCAAAGGTTTGGGAAGTGCCGGGTGAAATCCTGACTCAGCAGGAGCCCCAGGATCTTAAAGAGTTCTTGTGGCTGAGATTATCAGAGGGGCCATGGGCCTTCCTTGTGACACTGACTGGCTCTTTGCTTTTTATGTTGGGGTCTAGGTACCTCCTCACAATTCCCTGGGAGGTAGTATGCATAACAGAAATTATTTTCTGTTAAAAACCAAACCAAAACAGCACCACACACTAAACAGGCAGCAGAGGAAAAGAAGATAACGGGGGTGGGGGGTGAGGAGGAGGAGTCCTTCCCACCGGGTGGGACCTGCTCATTGAACCTAGGTCATCCAGCTTGGGTGCAGGCCCTTTTACCCACTGAGCCATTTTGTCAGCCCACCATTTGATTCTTAATTCAACTTTACAGGAAACCTTTTCCTGTGTTTTCTTTCAGACTTGGTGTATAGTAAATTTCTCAATAAAACAAAGTCCGACAGTACAACTTTAAAGACATATTGGCTGGGTGCGGTTTACACTTGTAACGCCTGCACTTAGGAGGCTGGGACAAGAAGACTTCGTGAGCTCAAGGTTACTGTGAAACCCTGTCTCAAAAAACAAAACAAAAAATACATAAAATAAAGACATCAAACCAAAGAGTTCTACACTCCAAATCCCTGGCCAGCACTCAGGCTCTTCACCATGCACACCTTCTATATGGTCTATTGGAGTCGGACCTAACACAACTGTAGCACACCATCTATCTGCCACTTAAGCTGTAACCTGGGGACAGACCAGGCGAGGAAACCCGTGACGTAGGGAATAGGCCAACCCCAAAGTCAGAGCAGTGTTTACAAAAGCAGCTGCTGTAAGGGCATGGCAGGTAACCCTAGCACTCAGGAGTCTAAGGCAGGAGGAGCTCGGAGTTCAGGCAGAACTAGGCTCTGACGGACGGCAAGGCTGTCTCAAGACATGGAACAAAAACTAAACTAAATTGCAGAACAGCTGCCTTGCTGGAGATAAAGGGAGTCAAACCTGAAAGGCATTTCTAGCTCTTACTTTGGGGATGAGAAAATGCTCTGGGAGGGCTGGCTCTGCCTGGGTTTCCACACACTGCTCCAGGCTTTGTCAGGACATCAGGCTAATGGAAGGTTTGCAGAGAGTGAAGGGATGATTGATAGTTAAGTGCCTCACAGGGATGGGCCAGGTTTCAGCTCAGTGTGTGGGTTTCTGGGTCTCAAGAGCCATCTTTAGTGTAGGAATGTTTGGTGGCTCCACCCGTGACCCAAGCAGCCACTTTTTTCTTAGGGCAGTACCTTCAAAGCTGCCAGCAGCAGGGCCAGACACACCTGTATCACTCGGTCTCACCACCCTTTCCCTGGTAAGGTTTTGGTTAATGTGTATGAGTGTTTTGCAGGTGTGGGTATCTGCTGGATTCCCGGGAACCACACTTAGAATGTGGGTGGGTGCTGGGACCTCTACAACAGTCAGTGCTCTAAAACAGATAGCCATCTCTCCAGCCCAGCTTCTCCCCTCACCGCTGGTTACTGTAAAGGGCACCAGGTGTGAAAGAAGGAAAGGGGACAGTGCCTGCAGCCCACTCAGCTCCAGCACCCCATCTGGCTGGTCTGGGGCTGAGATACAGGAGACACATCAGTTTTCACTGGCTTCTTGGGGCTTTGGTGGAGGGTGGGTAGAAAGGAGGGTTTTACCAAATGTAGCAAAGCCTCATCTGTTTGGAGGGAGGAAAGACTGTTAGGATTCCCGAGCTGACCTGTTCCCAGGGGGTATTTGGGGGTCTAACTATGCTTTTTACCCAACTTCTAGGACTCTTCAAAGTAAACTTCTACCCCATTTTCCCCACTAAGGATCCATACCCACAGCTGATACACAAAATGTTAAGAGCACATTTCTGACAATTGCTTTACAAGTGTATTTTCTTCACATTTTCATTTTATCTAAAGCAACAGTGCAAAACCAGAGTGTTACAACACACACACAACTTTAAGACAGTCTTATTCTGTAGCCTTGGCTGGACTGGAACCCACCCTGTACACTGAGCTGGCCTTGATTCAGAGACCAACCTGCCTATGCCTCCCAAGTGCTGGGATCAAAGGCACATGCCACTACAGCCAGCTGAGCTGCAGTTTTGAAAAATGGGCTCAGCACTCTTCCCATCTGCTTACTTTGACATTACGTGACAGCTGTATCAGGTATCTGACAACTTAAAAACTATTTCCTAATTCAACCGTACATTAGGTCAGAGTGATGGCTCAATCTTTATTGTCAATTTGAATGCACTTACAGTCATGAAAACACACTTTTGGGGGTGCCTACGAGGACGTTTCCAGGAAGGTTCAAGTAGGGAGGAAGGCCCATCCTGACTGGGTATCTCCATCCTATAGGTGGGGCCCAGGACCTGAGCAGTAATACTCCTCTCTGTGCTTCCTGACTGTGGATGCCATGTGACCACCGCCTCAAGCTCCTGCCGCCATGTTTTCCCTGTCATGATGCCTACCTATGTCCTCAAACGGTGAGACAAATAAACCCTCACTCCCTTAAGCTGTTTTTGTCACAACTAATAGCAGTATGCTGTTTGCCATTCCTCCTCTGCATCCAGGTCCTCAGAGCAGTCTGCAGATTCTTTCCCTTCACCCAGTGAGCACCATAGCCAATCAGACGGTTCAGAGCAGGAGAGACACACGGCTTCCCACTAGCAAATTGCCAGTCTTTATTTTATTTTGGAAAGTACAACTACTTACGGCCATGCAAGCATGAATAAAAGCTTGCATATTCTGGGGGCAATTTAAGAGTTCTGCTGCTAAGGGTACAGACTGACTTCCAGAGCAGCTGTTCCATCTCAGCAGTCCTTGTATGTCTTCTTATGGTACCTGGGATCAAAAGGTCTGCAAAATAAAAAGATATCAATTTCAGGTTTGCCATTTAGAAAAAAAGAGCAAGCATCCACAACACTGACTGACAAGGAAGGCGCGGGGCACTGTCCCCATCTGTCTTCATACTTTACTTGGCTCAGGTTTCCCGCTGAGCCATGATTTAGTAGACCCCCTGGCTCACTTGTGTGGACTTTCTGCTTTTACATTCACTCACTCCCCAGATGCAAACAGGTCACCTGCAGCAACATCCTTAGTAACTGGAGGTTTTGTAGCAGTACTTAAGTGTCCAACAGAAACCACTCCGTCTGCTAAACAATATCTTGACTGCAAAGCTTCTCTGACTGTTGGTGGATCGACAATGGCACAGCACAGCCATCATCACCGTGGCAACAGTACCCAGAACCTATCAGAGGAAAATTGCACATGGAACTGATGGCTCTTGAGCAGGCATGCCTCAGCTTCCTCTGGAGTATGCTGTTTCTGCAAGTCTGGTGTGCTCTAGGGTACCACCAACCCAGCGCAGGTCCAAGACTACAGATCAGGGGGCATGCCACCAAGTCCTGCTGGCCAAGATCCAGATCCATGTGTAAGAGTACTGACCATGTCCCGAGCTCTTCTAGGGGGTAAGGCCATGTCAAGCAATATGTACAGTGGACAGCAGAGCAAGCAATGGGCTTTCTGCTTTCTTATAAGTAATTCTCACTTTTCTGCAGCAACATAAGCAGATATGCCAGTACATTTTGTGCAAGAACTCCACCCTGTGGCCAGCATCACCTGCTCCGGAAATCACGGACAGAACACTATTATTTGTGTGCATGAGCGCATGAGCTAGGGATGGAACTCAGGATGCCATTTACACTAGAAAAGCGATCTGCTACCTGGCTATATCCTCACACTTCCTGTTTCCCGTTTTTAAAAGGGTCTTGTTATATGGCCCGGGGTGGTTTAGAACCCTCAAGAGCAGATCTTCCTGTCTCAGCCTCTAGAGTGCCGGCACTTTGCAGACAAAGGCCACGGTAACAACCCATCAATTTCCTAGTTTGTTCAATAGCCCTTTCTAAGGCGGGGACAAAGAGTTATGAGGCCCCGAAGCCAGCCATCCCACCGCTAGCGCGCTTTACACCTTTCTTCTTCTTTCTTTCTTAAGATTTTATTTATTATGTATACAATATTCTGCTTCCATGTGTATCTGCACACCAGATCTCATTACGGATGGTTGTGAGCCACCCTGTGGTTGCTGAGAATTGAACTCCGGACCTCTGGCAGGGCAGTCGGCGCTCTCAACCTCTGAGCCATCTCTCCAGCCCCGCTTTACTCGTTTCTGGGAACACCATTCTGGAGGCTCAGCAGGCAACGGTACTTACCCGAGTTCTATCCCCGGGCCCCTCGTAAAAGGCGGGAGTGGGGTCCTGACCACACAAAGTTGTCTTCCGACTTCCCCTCCCACGCTGTGGCAGGTGCATGCACGCGCATCATACGTACACACGGGAATTACGTTTTTATGCTTAAAAAAAAAAATAAACCACGCTAGAGGAGGCATCCCACGCCAAGCGGGGCACGGCTTGGCCGTCCACGTGCACGATGGGTCCGAGGCCGGAGCCCCGGGCAGGGCTGGACGCGCCAGGTTCGCGGCTCACCTCGGCCGGTGAGGCGCGGAGGCCCACCGCACCTCGGTTCCCCGCGTTACCGTAGCAATCAGCCGCCGCCAACGGAAGCGGAACCTGCGTCTGCAAGGGACTCCTTCCCGGCGTGCCTCGGGCGTCAGAAGCCCCGCCCAGCGCCCGTCCTGTCATCCTGGTGTATCCCGGCAGGCCTCGACCGCCCCCGTGAGGTCGCGCCTCTCATTGCCCTTCAGGCCTTCTGCGTGACTCTGATGGACGTCCAGTGTGTCCAATCAGCACGCACAGCGGCCGTCCACGCTCACTAGCGAGCCTGTAGGACGCGGCTTCCAGGGACGGCCCCCCGTCACGGTGTGGGCGATATGATTGGTGGAATGGAGCCAGTCCTGTCCAATCACTAGACTCAGCCCGGAGTCTGTCCAATGAGAGCCTCTGGTGGGCCGGC